AGATTCTAATCAAAGAAATTTTTGTGAATTAAAGTAAAAATCGGTTTTTTAAAAATTGTTTCCTCACGGATTTGGCTTAAGCGTTGGCATTAACATTAATTGCATTAAAATTATTCATTTTTCTGTCTATCGAGTGTCTTTCAAGTCAATTTAGGTATGCAGAATCATAGAAGAGGATAAAAAGAACGGCTAATAAAGACAACATTAATAGTTGTAAAGACATCTTAAAGTGGTAAATTTCTGCTTTCATATTCAGAATTCAACATTGTGTAATATACCAACGCTCACAAAAATCCAAATATTTCATTAATTAAGGCATGACAAGATACATAAGTTTGTGAAAAAATTGCAGCTGCAAAGTTCTCTAATTAAGAGAAAATTCGATTCAAAGATGAATATTTTGGAAAAATCAATCCGTGGAATTGCCCTTATAGCACAACAATTCTTTATCTTTTGAGGAATATTTCATTTATATTTGGTTATTTAAAAAACTTAAAACGGTCCGTTAACGGCCGTTATTGAAAATAAAAAACGGAAAACGGCCGTTTTCGAAAATGCCGTTTTTCAGAAACCCTACTATTTTCAAAAAAATATTGATTTTATCTCTATATTAGCATTATTTATCATTTATAATACCTAGATATGTTTTAATATGCAATTTAAAGCATTTTTGGTTTTGATCATAGCAGGCTATTTTCAAAAAAATATTGATTTTATATCTATATTAGCATTATTTATCATTTATAATACCTAGATATGTTTTAAAATGCAATTTAAAGCATTTTTGGTTTTGATCATAGCAGGCTTTTTTCAAAAAAATATTAATTTTATATCTATATTAGCATTATTTATCATTTATAATACCTAGATATGTTTTAAAATGCAATTTAAAGCATTTTTGGTTTTGATCAAAGTAGGCTATTTTCAAAAAAATAACGATTTTATATTTATATTAGCATTCTTTATCATTTATAATACCTAGATATGTTTTAATATGCAATTTAAAGCATTTTTGGTTTTGATCAAAGTAGGCTATTTTCAAAAAAATATCGATTTTATATCTATATCAGCATTCTCTTTCATTTATAATACCTAGATATGTTTTAATATGCAATTTAAAGCATTTTTGGTTTTGATCATAGCAGGCTATTTTCAAAAAAATATTGATTTTATATCTATATTAGCATTATTTATCATTTATAATACCTAGATAAGTTTTAAAATGCAATTTAAAGCATTTTTGGTTTCGATCATGGTTATTTTCAAAAAAATATCGATTTTATATCTATATCAGCATTCTCTATCATTTATAATACCTAGATATGTTTTAATATGCAATTTAAAGCATTTTTGGTTTTGATCATAGTAGGCTATTTTCTAAAAAATGTCGATTTTATATCTATATCAACATTCTCTATCATTTATAATACCTTGATAAGTTTTAAAATGCAATTTAAAGCTTTTTTGGTTTCGATCATGGTTATTTTCAAAAAAATATCGATTTTATATCTATATCAGCATTCTCTTTCATTTATAATACCTAGATATGTTTTAATATGCAATTTAAAGCATTTTTGGTTTTGATCATAGCAGGCTATTTTCAAAAAAATATTGATTTTATATCTATATTAGCATTATTTATCATTTATAATACCTAGATAAGTTTTAAAATGCAATTTAAAGCATTTTTGGTTTCGATCATGGTTATTTTCAAAAAAATATCGATTTTATATCTATATCAGCATTCTCTTTCATTTATAATACCTTGATAAGTTTTAAAATGCAATTTAAAGCATTTTTGGTTTTGATCAAAGTAGGCTATTTTCAAAAAAATATTGATTTTATATCTATATTAGCATTATTTATCATTTATAATACCTAGATATGTTTTAAAATGCAATTTAAAGCATTTTTGGTTTTGATCATAGCAGGCTTTTTTCAAAAAAATATTAATTTTATATCTATATTAGCATTATTTATCATTTATAATACCTAGATATGTTTTAAAATGCAATTTAAAGCATTTTTGGTTTTGATCAAAGTAGGCTATTTTCAAAAAAATAACGATTTTATATTTATATTAGCATTCTTTATCATTTATAATACCTAGATATGTTTTAATATGCAATTTAAAGCATTTTTGGTTTTGATCAAAGTAGGCTATTTTCAAAAAAATATTGATTTTATCTCTATATTAGCATTATTTATCATTTATAATACCTAGATATGTTTTAAAATGCAATTTAAAGCATTTTTGGTTTTGATCATAGCAGGCTTTTTTCAAAAAAATATTGATTTTATCTCTATATTAGCATTATTTATCATTTATAATACCTAGATATGTTTTAAAATGCAATTTAAAGCATTTTTGGTTTTGATCAAAGTAGGCTATTTTCAAAAAAATAACGATTTTATATTTATATTAGCATTCTTTATCATTTATAATACCTAGATATGTTTTAATATGCAATTTAAAGCATTTTTGGTTTTGATCATAGCAGGCTATTTTCAAAAAAAAATATTGATTTTATATCTATATTAGCATTATTTATCATTTATAATACCTAGATATGTTTTAATATGCAATTTAAAGCATTTTTGGTTTTGATCAAAGTAGGCTATTTTCAAAAAAATATTGATTTTATCTCTATATTAGCATTATTTATCATTTATAATACCTAGATATGTTTTAATATGCAATTTAAAGCATTTTTGGTTTTGATCATAGCAGGCTATTTTCAAAAAAATATTGATTTTATATCTATATTAGCATTATTTATCATTTATAATACCTAGATATGTTTTAAAATGCAATTTAAAGCATTTTTGGTTTTGATCATAGCAGGCTTTTTTCAAAAAAATATTGATTTTATATCTATATTAGCATTATTTATCATTTATAATACCTAGATATGTTTTAAAATGCAATTTAAAGCATTTTTGGTTTTGATCAAAGTAGGCTATTTTCAAAAAAATAACGATTTTATATTTATATTAGCATTCTTTATCATTTATAATACCTAGATATGTTTTAATATGCAATTTAAAGCATTTTTGGTTTTGATCATAGCAGGCTATTTTCAAAAAAATATTGATTTTATATCTATATTAGCATTATTTATCATTTATAATACCTAGATATGTTTTAATATGCAATTTAAAGCATTTTTGGTTTTGATCAAAGTAGGCTATTTTCAAAAAAATATTGATTTTATCTCTATATTAGCATTATTTATCATTTATAATACCTAGATATGTTTTAATATGCAATTTAAAGCATTTTTGGTTTTGATCAAAGTAGGCTATTTTCAAAAAAATAACGATTTTATATTTATATTAGCATTCTTAATCATTTATAACAGAGATCGAAGCCGATTTTTTCGGCTTAACTCAATTTTTGATTTTTTTGATAGAAAAAAGTCATTTAATACTAGGGTTCGGAAATCTACAGTTATTATCAGTTAGTAACACTTATCTACAGTTATCTACAATTTGTAACTGTAGATAAGTAACTGTAGATAATTTTTTCAAAGTGGAAAAAAACGTTATTAATTTACTGAAAAAAGAGTTGAAATGCTAAAATCAGGACTGCAACAGCATGTAACAGTTCAAATAAAGTGACATTAGGCTTCATTCAGTATTTTAAAAGCGTTTGTGTGGTGATTTAATTGAAAATTAAGAAATTTTCGCAAATTTTTTTTGTTTACAAACATGTGAACAATATTTGAATTTCATATAACCGTTACAAATATTCGATAAACAAAAAGTTGATTTTTAATAGCTAATGTTGACATTTGAGCTCTCTTAATGTATAATAAGTGTATTCTATATATAAATTTATTAAAAAAGTCTCCAAAAATTGTTTGTTTACAAAACTTTGCAAATTTTTTTAACGGATTTTCTTCATTCAAAGAATATATCTACAGTTTACTAACTGTTGATAACTGTAGATTTTGTGTAGATAATCTAAAAGTTGATAACTGTAGATAATCAGTTAGTGGTTTTCCGAACCCTATTTAATACCCATTTTAAGTATTTAAATTGAACTTTACATGCTTTACTATCATTCTGTGAAATATTTTTTCAGCATGTAGCTATAGTGAGCTCAGAATTTCAAGTTAAAGAATGTTAAGCCGAAATTTAAGCCGATCGGCTTAAAATCGGCTAAATTGAAATTCAGAGCTTACTATAGCTACATGCTGAAAAAATATTTCACAGAATGATAGTAAAGCATGTAAAGTTCAATTTAAATACTTAAAATGGGTGTTAAATGGCTTTTTTCTATCAAAAAAATCAAAAATTGAGTTAAGCCGAAAAAATCGGCTTCGATCTCTGATTTTTTTGATAGAAAAAAGCCATTTGACACCCATTTCAAGTATTTAAATTGAACTTTACATGCTTTACTATGATTCTGTGTAATATTTTGTCAGCATGCAGCTATAGTAAGCTCAGAATTTTAAGTTTGAGAAATTTAAGCCGATCGGCTTAGAATCGGCTAATTTGAAATTCTGAGCTCTTGAAAATGACTTGCTGAAAATGTTTTCTGGTCAGAATTCTCAAAATGTACAAAAAAAATTCTACATCAATTAATTTCTTCAGTACATAATAATTCATTAAGCAACATCGATTAATTTGACAGTTTCATCGTTGACATTGAATTATTTTCATAATTTATATGATTTTTACTATAATTAAGCATTTCTAAGCTCCACAAATGCTTGAATATTGTATTGTCATTGGATATACAAGTGCATGCAAAATTTCAGCTCGATTAGAGCAGTAAAAGTGGTCGAAAAATCGATCACAAGATTTGAAATTTTGCGGACAATCAAACAGATAAGAAAGCAAGTTAATAAAAACGTGGTAAGTAATAATAAAAGTGGTCGAAAAATCGATCGCAAGATTTGAAATTTTTCGGACAATCAAACAGATAAGAAAGCAAGTTAATAAAAACGTGGTAAAATAATAAAAACTTTGTAAAAACGTAGTAAAAAGCTCACCGTCAAGATAGTAAAAGATCTTAAATTCTAGTTCACCATTTTGAATGCCAATATTTTTAGGATCAATTGCTTCAGGTATATTTTGAAATTCCTCGAGTCCAGTTTGGTTTTCAGTAAAAACAGTTCTCCATGTGTTATAGTCAAAGGATGGCTCACTGGTTTTGTCGACAAATGCGAAGGAAACGCTTAAATAGTCGCTTCTATAATTTCCACCGTCAAAAGCAATAACTGTTATCTAATCATTGAATAGAAGAATTAAATAATTAAATTTCATTTTCATTGCATTTTAAATTGTATACCTCATAAACTTTCTTTTCCACTATTGATTTCAAATGCAGTTCGGAAAGTCTTTTGTCATTTTTTTTAAATTCAAAATAACTTTGGGTATCTGGCTCAAAAGCAAAGGTTACATCTCCAAAGATCCCTGCATCATCATCAAAAGCTTCAAATGCTGGAAAGTTTGAGCCATTCAGTAAAACCAAGTTTTTTCCTATTTCAGAAGCTCCATAGCTTTGAAAAATTATTAAATTAATTACTAATTAGAAATAAACTAGAATTTGAATGGCATACTCGAATCTAATAATATTATTATTCTTTGAAGGAAATGTTATGATTGGAATGTTATAATTAAATGGATCAATCTTGATTTGATAAGATGATTCTGATGAAAGACTATACCCTCCTATAGTTTCATTTCCTCGATCCACTGCCTTAAATAGACAAAAAAAAGTAAATTTAAAAAAATTAAGTGTGAGCAATTATATAAATCAAATATACCAGAATTTTAAGACACCAAGTTCCACTATAACCTTTTAAATCGATCCCAGTTTTTATACGAGTATATTTGTTTTCATAATTATCCAATACAAATAGATTTTTATATTGCAATTGCTCTCGATCAACTGTTACTGGATCTATTGATAAAATTTCATATAGAACTTCTGCATTAAATCCTTCGTCAATATCAGGAGCATATAACTTGTCCACAATTATCGTTGACTAAAAAACTGAAATTTCGTGACTGGTTTGATACAAAAAAATAATTTTTACCTTTTTTAGATCTTCATTAATTAGAGCAGTTGTAAAATCCAAGTTTATTGGCATTTGTGGAGCGTTGTCATTAACATCTAATAAAATAATTTGCACAATATGTTGAATTCCATTTCTAGCTGTATCAATGAATCATAGATATAATATTTCGATCAGTTTTTAAGGAACAGTTTTTCACATTTACCTCCGATTCCTAAATTATCTTCGATATAAATTGGAATGGAATACTCTGATGGTTCTATATCTCTGTCCAAAATATTATACTCATCAAGTTTTTTAACTCTTAATTCTCCAGAAGTTAAATTAATAGTAAAAAATCTTTGGAGCTCAAAATTACTTTGATAATTTATTGTATATTGTAAGACATTATGAGGCTCTAAAAAATAATTCATATATTTTATTAATATTTAAGACTTAAAAACTGTCTTACCGTCTCGATCTGAATCATTTGCTTCAATAGTTTTTAACAGAAGATCGCTTGAATTTTCATAAATTTCAATGACATCCTCAAAAAAGATTAACTTTGGAATTTTATTATTTATATCATTAATTGCGATGGATATCTAAAAAAAATTGAAATTAGTTTTATAATCATTTCTTTTTTGTTACCAGTTAATGATTACATTTCCAAAGTTTTCCAGTTCTCCATCACTGATTTTAACGTCATATTCTAAATAAAATCGCTTTGGAATGTCACAGTCTATTGATTTATTTTTAGCCACACTCAATTCTCCCGATTTATTCCCAATTTTTACCCACTCATTTGTTTTGTTATCACGTGGGCTGTAAATAAAATTAGACTTAAAATTCCAAACTGAATGCACCTACATCAGAAAAAAATTAAATTAAAAACAACAATCACTTACATCAATGTAAATGATATATCATTGTAACCAGGTCCATCTTTATCTACAGCATGCAGAAATCCAATAAAAACATCCGATTCTGATTCCTCAATCACACTTCTGTTTACTTCTAAAGTATTTCCAACAAACTCTGGTGCATTATCATTAACATCAAGCACAAAAACCGTCAAAACTGCACTTGTTGAATTATCGTTTACTTCCGTTTTTAAATCAACAGCAGTAATTGTTAGAAATAAAATTTGGAATTTCTCATAATCAATAATTTTTGTAGAGCTTGATTTTAAAGTTCCTTTTAAACGATTGTTATTCAATTCCTTCTCAAATATTTCTACACAGTTCTCATAATCTTCTATCTCTACATCTAATCCACTTGCAATCGATTGACTCCAATCAATAAAAACTCTTAAATCTGCTGATGTATCAGGATCATAGACTTCAATTTCATTCGTAATTAATGCATCGAGTCCATTTTCAGTAACTGTTAAGAATGTTCTTGGCTGGTTTACAGGAAATACAGAATGTTTGTAAAATGCATAATATTTTTGATATACCTGGTTAAGAAATTCTTACCAAAACTATTGTAGGAGGAGTATCATTTACATCAATCACATTGATTTGAATTTGAGTAGACGTTGTATGAGTGGATTCATTTCTTGTTTGCAATGTATCTCTAGCAAAAACTTGAAAAGTAAAAATCGATTGCTGTTCATAGTCAAATGTCTTGTCCAAAATTGTTGTTAATTCACCAGATGTCATGTTTATAAAAATCTTTTCACTTATTTTGTCATTCAAAAAATATCTTAATAGTGACAAAAAAATAAAGATAAGTAAATATAAATTTAATCCAAAGAATATGTAAGGTACTTACTCGATTTCATCATCAATATCACGATCGGATGCTTTGACAAAACCAATTGAAAAATCACTTCCCACAGTTTCATTTATATTAAACACATATCCATCGCTTTCAAATTCAGGCAGTTCGTCATTCCAGTTCAATAAATTAATATGAAAAGTTTTTTCCGAACTATGAGATGAGTCGTATACTTCAGTCGCTATAATCTAAAAAATATATTTATAATTAAAAAAATTAAATTTTTGCACTAATGAAATTGAAGTTAAGTTATGCAGCGACAACCAAAAGCCTTTGACATAGCTTACAGAGATATCAAAACTTTGAAATTCTAGATTTTCATAATCCAAAAGATTTTGATTCAAAACTGATATGGAGAATGTGGATTGTTCCTGATATCCGATTCGAGGTATTATGTTGAAGGCAGAAGCAAAATTTTCTCGTTCTAATTTAACACTGTACATTGCATTGGTTCCAAGATCTGCATCTATGATTAAAAGCTCGGACGTTTCAAACAGTGTATAGAAGGTTTCTTCGTACATTTCAATGACATTTTTTGTCGCATTAAAATATATTAATGGTATATTATCATTTAAATCATCAACTAATAGCACAGCGGAGTTATTAATCCAAGATGTTTCATCTTGACACTCATATGCTTTTATCTAAGGTGTATAAAAATAATGTAAGTTAATTTTTAATATTAATCATGTTAGAAATAAAACATACATAAAATGGAAATACTTCGATTTTCAGACTATCTCTGTCTATTGGTTTAACTTGGATTTTTCCTGTTGTTTCTTCAATGGTTATTAAATTTGAAACTTTCAATCAAAAAAAATATTAATAATATTCAAAGATAGATTAGATTAATAATATTTACAATCTTTGTCTTCGTCGAATATTAAGGTGTAACAAATTGGATCATTAATGCCTGTATCTCCATCGATTGCTTCTGCTTGAAATTCCTTTAATTTTAAAAAATTACGTTATGTTAAGTTATTTTCAATTGTTACAAAATACCTGAGCCTCTTTCTCGAAAAATTGTGCCGATGCAAATACTCGAATCCACATTGGAGGTTTATTTGGCATATCCTTCACTTCAACAATTATGTTGAATGAAAACTGATTATTTGCAATATCATATACTGTTGCACGAAATGAATAGTAAAATCTGATGTCATAGAAAAGGGGTTTCTTCAACCTTAAACATATAAATTCTGATGTGGCTTTTAAATTTTTTATAAAAGTTTGAACTAATATCTTACAATAAACTATAGGTTTCAGAATATTCTTCATTCAAACTTGAGTTAATCTTAAAATCAAATATTTCACTTTCGTTGAAATTTCCGTGAACCTCAAATCTTATAGTATTATTCATCATTCCATCAAGATCCATTACTTTCTAATTACAAAAACAATTGGAAATATTTTTGATGCAACAAAAAAAAAATCGTTTAACTTACATAGACGCACTGTGACTCATAATTTTCTTCTGTCAATTCCTATCAAAAATTCAATCATTCATTTTTTAAAATAAAGCGTAATTTAATTAAATATTTGTTCTTACTTCTACAACACAAGGATTTTCATAAGAAACACTTGGAGAGTTATCGAAGATATTTTCAATAATGATAACCACTGTCACTGAGATAAGTCCAACTTTTAATTCAAAGATATATCTTCTGTTATCCTCATTTTCAAAATCTTGTGTTTTCGTCACTATCATATTCCACCTTGTGTTATTCTTTTCAAACTTTAAACCTAAATTTATTGATTGACCTGCACTGAATGGCATAATAACTGGGGTATCGTTTCCACTGTACTCATTTAGATAAGCAACAGTAAATGGTGAAATAATTTCTTCCTTCATCGTAAGCGATACATAATCAGAAAGTCGTAAATCTATAGTCACGTCTTCCACTCGTTCAGTGATAAGAAACGGTGAAGTCCAGTCTGCAATATTTTTGGTATTATAAAAGTCTTTTAATATTTTACTTTACTTTTCACCTGAACATGCAATTTTCACCAAAAATATGAACATTAAAAAGCTCAATTGCTTGTCTGATATCCTCTTCATTTTTATTTCACTATTATTAATATCATAGAGTATCACACGGTTTATTATTTCTTAGAAGCAAAACTTTACTTTATGAAGTCCGGAAAGCTAGTGAAATTGGTGATCGATTGATGAAATAATAAAGCTATCAAATGTGTTTGATAGGAAAAAAACAATACACTTTAATAGATAAGATACAGAAGAAATAAAAATAATAATAACTGCTTTGCAAAATTAAAGGGAACTTTTCATATTTATTTTTGTTGATTAAAAATTTAAAATGACAAAGATGAAACTTAATTTAATGGTGTCGATAATTTTGCTGACTCTAATCTGATAGCTTGAACAAGGTCTTGATTAATGAGGAAGATGAATCGTAATCCTGATATCTGTAATGGATAATCAAGACTCATTACTTATTTCAAATTATTGTATAGCAAACATTTACCTCAATGACATTATTATTATGAAGTTTTATCTTATTTCCTGCGATTATAGGAACTCCATCAACGAAAATCGGACGCTTTCCTTCGTTGACTAAGAAGAAGTCTCCATTATTTCTCATTTTTATTGTTCCTTGTTTTCTTGAAACTTTATGAGACGGTCCTTCCAATGACAAATTTACATCGACTACAAAATCTTTTGAGTTCCGTCCAACTGTAATCTCTCGTGATCTCATCAAATAACGAACTGCTCTCCCTCTTAAAATAGCCAAAGTCTGATTATCGAATTCTGGTGAAATGCCAATTCCAGTAACTGAATCAAGCATAACAGACCATCTTTGAAGTTCATTCTCTAGTGTACGTATTTCTCTTTTATTCTTACGATCAGCTAATGCCAATTCTAGTTCTAAATGCTCATCTCTATTTTCGGTCAAGATTTCATTGTCATTTAAGGTTTCTTCAAAATCCGAAAAGCTTTGCAAGCCATCAGCTGAAATAGATGATGGAATGACTTGATCATTTAAAAGCATATATTGTCTTAATAATTCCCAATGTGTTATCAGTGATTTCGGAGTTCTTGCATGATAAAATACGGTTGCATTTTTTGTTAATAAATCTTGAAACGTTTCCTCGGTTGGTGATTCTGTACTTTTAATGTTTGTAAGTATGTCTTCTTCGACCTTACTAAAAAGTGCTTTTTGCTGAATTGAAGAAATCATTTCTGGATGCAAATTTCGCATTGCACTTATTGCTATACGACTTATTGATTCGTCATACATTAAAGAATACCATCGATTTGATAATTCCTGGATTGTAAACTTGCATGAAAACTTTGTACCACGATGAACAGTTTTTATGTCATTTACTTGCTGTATGTTTATGACCAATGCCAAATCATCAGTTGGTTTGAACCTTCCTAAATCCTTTGTGCTAGTGCCTCCAAGTCTTCTCTTTGTTTTTTTGATGTTTACCTTTAAACTGCCACGCTTACGTTCCGGAAGCATTAGTTGATTCTGTGCAGGAAATATGTTTGGAGTTATTGGAACTGGAGTGGATGTTAATATTGGTTGAGCAGATATTGGAGTTTCTGGAACTTGTTGCTGATTTGTTGAAACTGTAATTGTAGCAGAATTTGAGTCAATTGAACTGGCTTGCAATGTTTGGGATTGAGTTCTAATACGTCCTTGTGGCAATCCTCCTAGACTGTATTCAACAATTTCGTCATCAAATCTTTTCCGCTTAATTGATCTGTTAGAGCTGAAAAAATATTTTTTTTGTTTTAATTATAAAAACTTTATAAAACTCAAAATTCATCAAACCTTCTTCTTTTTCCGTCACTTCCAGCTTCAAAGCTTGCGTTTATTGAACTGTCCATAATCTTTGCGATTGTTTGCAAAGAAAAAGTTGGATTAGAACTTTTTATCTTATTCCAATAAATGAATAATGCTGGATATCAATTATAAAAATTTAATACTTTCTATCGTAAACAAATTTACAAGCCCAAAAACGTAAACAATCATTTAAAATTTTTTAAACCGTTAACTTAAAGATATTTCATTTTCATGCGTGTTATGTTCTTCACTTATTTCAACAAAACTCATTTAAGTTTATTACATAGATTTTTAAAATTTGTCAAAATTAAAAAAAAAATCTATAATATTAAAACAAATGCTTAAGTTTACAACTAAAACAACGAGCAACAACACTTAAAACACAGGTGGTAAAACCGAGAGTGTTAGTAATTTAGCTTGCTCCATGCTTTCAACTGTTGAAAACATTATTCAACATTCTTTGATCTAAACAAAACATAAGAAATAAACACTTTGAATGGGAAAGACACAACTAATTTATTTGTTCAGATTTGTTACTAGTGTCGTGGCAGTAAGAAAAGTTTTTGCGACCATTTAAGAGTGATCTGTGGATAGCAGTCAAAATAAATGACTAAGAACGTTGGAATTTTGTTTTAATAGTTTTTGGTTGTGGTATTTAATTATCACGAAAAATATTATCTTCATAAATGAATAAGACTTTTTGTAAGAACTAGTTTTTTTTCGGTGGCCTTAAGTTTTATTTTAAAAGTGAGTGATTTTTTTTAAAGTTATTGAGAATTTCTTGATTCATGAATATTTTATGACATATATGTATGTCATGCTGTTTCAATCGACCTTGGAAAAAATACTTAGACATTATTGCAAAATCTGTACTTAAAATACCTGTGTGCTTTAACTTGTTACTAGCGCTATTTCGTTTTAGGAAAGGTATAAAAAATATTTTATAAAATGTTTCAAGTTTTATGGGAAATTATAGACAGAAGTGAATGAATATACATTTTTCCATTGAATTGAACAGTGAGTTTTTTTCGCACGACTAATATAAGTGTTGCGTATGTTGGCTATGAAAACGGACAAATTACTATGAATATTCGAGTGAACCAACCAAGAATTTACGCAGAAAAGTTTATAATAAACAATTTACTATTGACTGCTTTTTCAATTTATTTATTTTGATAGTATTTTTCATTAATTCTAATATGCATGTGTATCATTTCCCGCTATGACATCATAAATCTATGTCATTTTTAATTGGTCAGCTCCCTCTTAAGAATTATATTGTATTTATGTATCAAGAATGTTTTAAATATCTCAACACTGCACAAAACTTTCATTCTTTTTGTAACAAAACCGGTCTGACAATAAAAATTCATTATCCAAGATAAGTCTTTGAAGAATGTGATAACAATAATTTAGTAATTAGAGAAGCTGTGTAAAATGTACTTCAAAAATGACTTGAAATAATCTCACACATAAATGTTTTAAAACTATATAAACTTGATTTATCATCATTACGCATGATGATTAAATTGAAATATATAGGTATGACAAAAATATTATCAGATAATTCCTACAAACTGCTCCAAACATGCTAATCAGTTTAAGTTTATAATGATAATAAAGAGATATATCTGAAGAGGTTCAAAATTTATCGGTAAATTGTCGGTAGACATAAATTACTATTTTAGTTGAATATAGCAGTTTAACGTAGATAGACAAAGTGTTGTGTCATGTGTGAAAAGAGACAATAAAACTTGCAATGAGTGGAAATAGGAAACTAAAGTGTCATTATTAAAAATCAATATATTTTTGGCACCTCAAAATATCACATAAAATACAGTCTACCAAAACTGCGTGACCAGGGCAATACATTAATTATACAAACGTATTAAATACTTATACAAAGTTCAATATCGATTTATTAATAATAATTTCTTGCTTCCCCAAAATACAGGAGGTGGACAAACAACTTGTCATAATTCTCACGATCTACATTCTCAAGTTCAGTTCATTTACTTCCTGATAAATTCGTAAATCTAGAAATCTCACCATCATGAGATTGATTCATATTGTGTTCATAATTACTGCTCAAATCAATTTGTTGCAGTGCCTTCCACAAGGTATGTTAAAAGTAATTAACAAAATATTTAGCTAGCTATTTAAGTTATTTGTTTATGCTCATAATAATGAATTTATTTATGTGTGTCTTTGAAATTTATAATAAAATATTAAAAACCAAAAAAAAAAAAATCCAATTTTCATTAGGTGCCCCTCAATCAGCATGCTACACATTAATGCCGATTCATGGAAATAATATTCCAGCCTTAACATCAGAGCCTTTATTCAGAATCTCGTTACAAAACGATGTCGTTGGACAACGTCAGAAAATGAGAGTAGAAATTAATAGCGTAATAAATGATTTAACTATAAAAGGATTTATGATTCAAGCAAGGTCACTGCAAGATGGAAGTGTAATAGGTGAATTTTCAGCTCCACAAGATCGCTTAGCGAAAATAATTGACTGTGGAAATGTCGGAAATACAGCAACACATTCGAGCACCGAACTTAAACGTAATATTGTTTTGGAATGGAATGCGCCAACAGATTTCATCGGAGACATTGTTTTCAAGTATGCATGATCCTATTCGCAAATGACGTTCATGAAAACTAAGATAAAATAAAGCTAGGAAAATAACCACCAACTTTCCTCAATATTGTCATCATTTGTAAAACTTCCATTTAATCTCAATAAATTATTTCATGTTATTGTTTATTTTCTCACTATGCAGTTCAACACTTGCACAAGACTATGATAAATTTTGGGTTGGAGTGACGTCAAGTCCTTTAAAAATTGTTGCTGATGATCAAGAATTAAAAAATTCAATCTCAACAACTCGTCAACCATTGAAGCCAACTTACTCTTATACTAGTAAACCAAATGCTGAAAATACGTAAGCATATTGCTTCTTATTATTTTCTTGGAATATGAATGAATTCTAAAAGATTAGTATTAGTCATAATTTTTTTTTATATTCACACCGTTTTCACGTGTGAATCTATTGGTTTTGTTCAGATTGAAAATTCCGTTTTTTGAATTTTGTGAGGATATGGAGCAAGATAGCTTAAAATGTTCAGTGATGAAAAGTTTGTGCTTTGAATTTCATATCTTTTGCAAAAAACAGATTTCAAATTGGTTGCGGCATTGCTGAGAAAATCGAAAAATATGCTTTCTGTAAGCAAGCAAACACGCAAGTTAATCAGCAAGAAATCTCAATAACGAGACATTGTAGAGACTTCTAGTTTTTTACATTTGATCCGTGCTGCTCTATAGAAGAGCTGTATTGTTTTTGGGCAAAGTAAGAACAGCCGTTGCTTCAGAAAAAGCAAAAAACTTTCCTTTCTTACGAATTTTTCAAATTAAAAGTTCACTGTGATTTTTTTTTAAATTAAACTTTGGATGAAAAAATTTTTTTTGAGCAAAGAACCAAGAAGGAAATACATTTTCAATTTTGGACTAGGGGCGACCCTAAGGAAATACATTTTCAATTTTGGACTAGGGGCGACCCTAGTCAAAATCAATTTGTCACTTTTTTCTTTGAGGGTTTATCCAATTACAGTAAAACTTTGTGTAAGTATACTAATATTTATGCAAAACAGTTTTAAATATCTAAAGCAAGAAATGTATTCTATATGTCGTGAGACCCAAATTTTATAAATTTGGTTGTACATTCAAAAACAACGTGACTTAAAATTTTGTCCAAAAAAATGATTTTTATTAATGCAGAAATGTGTGACCTGAAGATTAGAATGCTCATTTTACTGTATTTGGATTTATTCTCGAAGAAAAAAGTGAAAAACTAGATTTTGACTGGACCTGTCCTAAGTTCATAATTGAAAATGTATTTCCTACTTGGTTCTTTGCTCAAAAAAATTTTAAGGAAGTTTTATTTGTATTTGTTTTAAGCACTAGAATATTTATGCGAAGTTTCAATCCATTTGGATAAACCCTCGAAGAAAAAAGTGACAAAATTGATTTTGACTAGGGTCGCCCCTAGTCCAAAATTGAAAATGTATTTCCTTCTTGGTTCTTTGCTCAAAAAAGTTTTAAGATGTTTTATTTGTATTTGTTTTAAGCACTTGAATATATATGCAAAGTTTCAATCCATTTGGATAAACCCTCGAAGAAAAAAGTGACAATATTGATTTTGACTAGGGTCGCCCCTAGTCCAAGATTGAAAATGTATTCTTCTTGGTTCTTTGCTCAAAAACATTTTAGGATGTTTTATTTGTATTTGTTTTAAACACTAGAATATTTATGCAAAGTTTCAATCCATTTGTATAAACCCTCGAAGAAAAAAGTGACAAAATTGATTTTGACTAGGGTCGCCCCTAGTCCAAAATTGAAAATGTATTTCCTACTTGGTTCTTTGCTCAAAAAAATTTTGAGATGTTTTATTTGTATTTGTTTTTAACACTTGAATATTTATGCAAAGTTTCAATCCATTTGTATAAACCCTCGAAGAAAAAAGTGACAAAATTGATTTTGACTAGGGTCGCCCCTAGTCCAAAATTGAAAATGTATTTCCTACTTGGTTCTTTGCTCAAAAAAATTTTAGAATATTTTATTTGTATTTGTTTTAAGCACTAGAATAACTATGCAAAGTTTCAATCCATTTGTATAAACCCTCGAAGAAAAAAGTGACAAAATTGATTTTGACTAGGGTCGCCCCTAGTCCAAAATTGAAAATGTATTTCCCACTTGGTTCTTTGCTCAAAAAAATTTTAGGATGTTTCATTTGTATTTGTTTTAAGCACTATAATATTAATGCAAAGTTTCAATCCATTTGGATAAACCCTCGAAGCAAAAAGTGACAAAATTGATTTTGACTAGGGTCGCCCCTAGTCCAAAATTGAAAATTGATTTTCTATGGTGTACTTTTGTCAAAAAAATTTTTTGGATGTTTTATTTGAATTGACATAATTCTGACATAAATCACATACCAATATTACTTTTTGTAATGCATAGCTTAAAAAAAATCGAAATCTAAAATTTCGACTACCCCATCTGAATTTTGTTCATACTCTTTACTGTGGAAACCAAAAAACAAATTCTTTATTCTACTAAATTCGAGATTTGGACCAAAATCAGCTATACTGGTTCATAGTGTTCCCGAGGGTGACAAAATTCAACATAAGTGTTTTTGTAGCTGACATAATTATGACATAAATTAGGTATAACTTTTGAACTGTGTCGATATGGGTCTCGGCCGTACTTCACGCCCACCCTTCAAACTTATGCTGAGCAAATCTTGGTCTATCCATAAGACTTTTGATGGTACGGTGTGAATATATCCGCATTGGGTTTCTACCCGATACACTAGTTTTGTAGTCATTTGATTTTATCAAGTCGCATAATGTTTTTGACCGTTTCGAGTTATATTATGAAAATAATTTATGACGTCTACATTATGCATAAAAATGTATTTTTAGCACGAACAAAACTGAATTAGAACAAAAGTTTATCTAACTCAAATGACCTTTCGCATGTCAATTCAATTTTTCTTTTATATTGCAGTAACAATGAGGACATGATTTATAATGAATGTGGCAATTCAAAAACATGCTTTGGTATTCCTAACAACTGTATTCAAACACGATCCTGTGTCTCGTTCACTGCTGTTAAAGTTGAAGGTATGTGAATATTTACTAATTGCAAATGGGTGCAAATGTATCGATTGTTGAGACTATAACTACATGTACTGACACAAAACTTATTACAAACTAATATTTTGCGAACATTTTATTTTAATGATTTCAGGAGATAAATATATCTTTGAAATGCGATCGGCACCTCGTGCTGCATATATAGCCACAGGTTTATCATCTGATGTAAGTCAATCGAAATAAGGTTTTGATAATATATAAAAAATCAATTATTTTAGGATAAAATGGGTGACGACTCGGTTGTGGAATGTATATACGATGCTGGTTCTGTACGAGCAATGAGCTCATGGACAATTGTCGCGAATGGCAAATTCGATGCTCCAAGAAATGGCGTTGTGAGTCTTTTACTCCTTTAAAATTAATTTCAATGGTTTCAAAATAAAGTTTTAAATTTAATATTTTTTAAAGGCCCAAAATATCGTGCAGCTTAAAGAAGGTCGTTTTGAAAACGGAATGATTTATTGTCAAGTGGAACGACCAGCTTTAACGCTAGTCAATAATGTTGAATTTGATTTGTCTAAGAACAGATATTACCTTTTAATGGCAAGTGGTTCGAAATTGAGAACAGGCTCAGTAGATTATCATGACATTAATCGAGCAGCCTCGGCAAGTGCCCTTAATTTAGCAGAAATCTCTAATATTGCGGCGAAATCTAAATTCTTATTACGTCTACACGGCAGCTTGATGGTTTTGACTTGGATCGGATCAAGTAAATATGAATTATTCTTATTAAAACAATTAATAAATCTTTTAATTTTCATTTTTGTGAATTTTAGCCTCAATTGCAATTGCCATGGCTCGTTATTTCAAATTAACCTGGAGAAGAAGTAGCATGTGCGGAAAAGATTTGTGGTTTGCTGTAAGTTAATTTTTTCATTATTAATGACAATTTTAATTATGATTTAAATATTTGACGTTTTTTTCCTGTAGTGGCATCAAATACTTGTGATCATTACAATTGCTCTGAGCGCAGTCGCCTTGATTGTTATTTTTGTTGAGTTCAAAGGATGGTCACCTGCGAATACAATTCATTCTTATCTTGGTGTCATAACTACAGCCATTTGCTTCCTACAAGGACTTATTGGTTTCTCAAGGTAATTTAGTTCATAGTAAAATTGGTTTAAATTATTTCCAATGATTTCTAAACTATGCTTTTTGTGAAAAATGTAGACCCAGTCCATCTAGCAAAAACCGTCCACTTTTTAATTGGTAAGCACATGAATTTCATGGTTTTAAAAGGGTTTTAGAAACGCATTTTTGGATTGATAAAAAACTAAAACTGGTTTTTTTGCTTATTATTATTTTTTCTTTGCCTTTAGGGTACATTGGTTTTGTGGAAATGCCGCTCACATACTGTCAATTGTAACAATTTTTACATCAGTAAAACTAGAAAAAGCTGAGTTACCTTCAGATGTCTTCGACATAATTTTGGTCAGCTATGTGGTTATTCATGTGATTGCACATTTACTTTTTTCCGTAAGTTTACACAGTTACTTAAATTTGATTTACTTAATTAACATATTGCTTATGTAACCAAATCTAGCTAATGGGCTGCTTGAGTGACAGAAAAGATGCACAAAAAGTAACTTCATTGCACATGACAGATATGAGTCAATCACCAAGAACACAAATGATTGCAAGTGTGAAGCAGGATGCTTCGGTAAATATTTTTAAAGATGTACATAGAAAATTGTACTTGTGTCTTATTTTCTTGTTTTTTTATTTGCAGTACGCTCCATTTAGAAAATTTATTTTAGCTATCTACGCAATTTTAATCATCTTAATTGTTATAAGTTTAATAATTCTCATTGTCCTCGCGCCTATCAAAGATTTCAAATCATTTTTTGACTATAATAAATCATAAACCATAAAACCACTCTTTAATCATGATATAATTAATATGACTTAACATAAAATAGAACTGTTACAATTTTATTTAAAAAGATGTCCAATAATTTAAAGTAAAACGATGCCTTATTATTCGTAATTAAGTGAATATAATTAACGGGATACGGTTTAGTTTTTTAATACGTCACAATTTTTTTTACCAGATGTTTCCCATACTCAAAAAATAATAACAAAAATGTGAATATTAATGTTAATTTCATTTCTTATTTGTTAAATTGTTACATAAAAAATATCAATAAATAAAATCGCAAAGTAAACCAAACATAAAGAAACTAGTAAATCTTCTTTTTACTTTGAATCCCCAAAAGCTATAATTTTCCCAGAAACAAAACAGACGAGAGTGCAAGTGTATCGATCAAATTTAGTCAGTATTCTATGCGAGCATACATACGATTTAAATTTCATGTTGATCAAAAACCTAAAATTCGATCGAATAACGGTATAGAAAATAATGTTATTTGAAATATTTCCAGATTTTTACCCACTCAATTTGTTTCGATTTATGAGAGAGAGACGGATCGCTCAATGTGGCTTATGATTGAAAAATATTCTGAGAGAAACTTCTGAATTTTTAAGATTCCACGAAATATTTTGAATTGTTGTTTAAAAGAGAATACTTCAATTGAATATTTTTAAACTTTTCATTTAAACTAGTTGCTAAAAGTATAATATGAATTAGAAAAATTCAGTTGAAATGTTAACATTATTGAAAATATAAAATCAGCAATCAGCATTGTTCGTTGGAATAGTGTAGAAAAGAGAAAATGATTTTTAAGTTTAAATTAAGAAATTTTTTTAAATATTTTTAAAATTATCAAATAACAATTCAAAGAATTATTTATAGTCATCGATCAAATCATATTTGTTAAAATTTAATTATTATGGGTGCTAGTATTGGGAGAATTGATTCGTCTAGTCAAGTAAAATATTTTTTTCATAAATATTTTTGTTCAACATTAAAAAAAATTCATCCTTTAAAATTCCAGCCACTTCATGTCTGTCTTTTGGGATTAGATAGTGCAGGAAAGACAACAGCTCTCTACAGAATGAAATTTGATCAATATATTAATACAGGTAGAAAATATCTTTTACAATTCCTTTTTTTCAAGCTTTTCTCGCTTTTCTTCCTTTCTATTTATAAATATTTTCATTTTTCATTTTTTTTTCTTTCCAGTACCAACAATCGGTTTCAATTGTGAAAAAATTAAACTCATATCGAAAGGAATTTCATTCTTAATTTGGGGTATGCAAAAAAAAAAATTTAAAACAATTTACTCTAACAGAATCCATCTTATTTATTCACAACATCATATTCATCATTCAAGATGTTGGAGGTCAAGAAAAGATTAGAGCATTATGGAAAAGTTATTGGAGATGTACAGACGGTATAATATTTGTAAGTGTGTTATATTTTTATATATTGTTATTGTCAGCTTCACATAAGTATTGCCTTATTTCTCCTCTCATCTCGAAAGGTAGTGTAACTGTAGGAAAAAAAATAGTAAATAGTTAAAATATTATCAAAGTCATTGGATGATCATAGTGCATTTTTTAATTTAAAATATTAAGTTATTTTTTTATTTTATTTTCAAATCTTTTCCTGCTCTTGCATTTTTAAGCTCAGATAACATGTACCTAGCAAAATGAGCACTTATTAATCAATCCGAGCGTGCAAAGTGAACAATCAAACACGCTTGTTCTGCAAAAATGCGATAAAATGTAATAATAGGTAACATTCCGTTTTACAGGTTGTTGATTCTTGTGATGTTGAGCGTATGGAAGAGGCGAAAATGGAACTGATGAAAACAGCTAAATGTCCAGATAATCATGTAATATTTTTTTTGTTACAACATTAAAAATATACAGTATATTTTTATTGTTATATTGAATGAAATTTGATTGACTTTCTCTCTCAATCTATCTCCGGAATCTTAAGAGACAAATGAAAATGTTAATGATCCATAAAGGTCATGATTGTGATATACGATTTTTTATGTGTGTATTTTAGGGAACACCAATATTGATATTAGCTAACAAGCAAGATCTTCCGTCAGCCAAAGATATAAACGAAATGGAAAAGTTACTCTCTTTACATGAACTCTCATCTGTATCAGCATTTCACATTAACTCAAGTTTTGAAAGTAATTCCAAAATGGAAAGAACCTCAAACACTAGTTGTAGTAGTAGCAGTAGTAAAGTATTGTCTGAACCCCAAAAATTATGGCACATTCAACCAGCTTGTGCAATAACTGGTGAAGGTAATTGACTTTTATTTTGCGAATTTATGTGTTTATTCTAATTAGGCTCGTAGCCGAAGAGGACTTTGGGGCAAATCCGACCTTCCCCTTAGTGAATTGAAATAACACATTCTGATTCTTATACTAACATTGTCCTTTGATCTGTTTTTTGTCCTTGTATGTAGGCTTAACAGAAGGACTAGAACACCTATATGAGATGATCATTCGAAGAAGAAAGCTTCAAAAGCAGAAGAAAAAACGTTAAACAAAATGCTTGTCAAAATTATCAATTATTCCTAAAATTATCTTTCCTATTTATATAATTCGTAAATATTGTATGTTTCATATGTTTTTATTTTTACCGAAAATGAAAAAAAAAAAGAATTGTTTTATCGTTTCATTTGCAAAAAAAAATGATCTTTAATTTTTTTAAACAATCTTTATTTTTTATTCCAGTCAATTTAAACTCAAAAATGCGGTCAAAACGAAATTCAATACTAATTTAATTTTTATATTCACACCGTTTTCACGTGTGAATCTATTGGTTTTGTTCAGATTGAAAAATCAGTTTTTTGAATTTTGTGAGGATATGGAGCAAGATAGCTTAAAATGTTCAGAAATGAATAGAATTGAATTTCACATCTTTTGCAAAAAACAGATTTCAAATTGGTTGCGGCATTGCTGAGAAAATACGCTTTCTGTAAGAAAACAAGCAAGCAAGTTAATCAGCAAGAAATCTCAATAACGAGACATCGTAGAGGCTTCTAGTTTTTTACATTTGATCCGTGCTGCTCTATAGAAGAGCTGTATTGTTTTTGCGCAAGGTAGGAACAGCCGTTGCTTCAGAAAAAGCAAAAAACTTTCCTTTCTTACGAATTTTTCAAAAAAAAAGTTTACTGTGATTTTTATAAAATTCAACTTTTGACGTTAAGCTTTACACCTCAGCTGATTCGCTAGCTTTATATCTTGAAACTTATGCTAAGCAAATCTTGGTTCACTAGTTCATAATAGACTTTGAGTCAATAATATTCGTTTATTTCAAAGAAACATTTCTTCTTTTTCATCTGACGTCGGGCTATTTATTTATGTGGATAGTCAACATTGACTTAGATCTTACTGCCATCTACTGGTGATCACTATCCTCTTTGATTGTGTGTTGGATATGTGTGCATATGATCATGTCGCATTGAGTGATCTACGATTTATTACTTTTTAATCGGGATATAAATATCAACCAAAAGTTGAAGAAGGCAAAGTATTAAAGTGATATTTTAGATGTCAAAGTTTAATAAAAAAAATTAGCGGATACAAATGATTCATTTTAACATTCATTTGAACAATGAAAAAAATATCATCGTGGTTAATGAAATGTTGCTAGAATATAGATATTATAAAGTAAATTTCGACATTTTAAAGAAAAAAATTCAAATAATTAAAATTTAAAAATTTAAAACAAAAGCACACGATCGAGCCGAGATCACTGTTCATCTCAGTTTTCTTCCCCTATTAAAACTTCATGTGTATTGTATTGCCTCATTTTAAAATGTTCTCATCTCTAGAATTTCATTCAGTTTATGTTTAGCTTTTCGGTCGATCGGATGTGCATAGATAATGTGATTTTAAATATAATTTATATCTATGCATGTGTTAGTGTGGGGTTTTTAAAATAATCTCAAATTCTTTTTTGATAACTAGTGTCTTTTAAGATTAAAGCAAATAAAGATGTATTTTAGTGATGAATTAAATAGAATCTTAATCTTTTTAACAATATTGAACTATGTAACTGCATTAAATTCGGATAGTACATATGCAACCACACATATTTCTTCATCAGAATGTTATGATAATTATGGACAACCAAGAGTAAGAATGCACTGTAGTCTCTTTTATGAAATTTTTCTAAATTTAAAAATGTTTGTTTGTATCATAAAAGTTCATTTCTCTTGTTTTCGCTGCCTGCTTGCACGAAAGCATCCCTCTTTTACATGCAAGATGTATTCTCAGTGAAAATTGATTGTGAAATATTTTTGAATGAGATAATTTTCAATAATTAATAAAAATAAAATTACAGAATAGTGATTATGATTATAATACGAAGTGTTTTTTTTTCGGAAGAAGAAAAAAAATCTATTCTGGCCCTTATCTTAAAATTTTCAATTTTTGTTCTCTCAACACGAAAAAAAAAACTTTGATGTCGTTTTTGTTTTCATTTCTTATCATTTCACAATATTCATAATGTCCACACAAGTCACTGCTTCCGGTCAAAAAAAATTTTTCCAAGATTTTTTTTTTGTTCAATAGTCTTGTATGCTAGATTTACTTACTTAAAATTTTTAAATTGTGACTTTGATGAGCTTCTTAAATTAATTCACTAATATTTCCAGCGGTGTATACCGGAATTCGAAAATGCTGCTTTTAATCTACCGATAGAGGCAACAAATACGTGCGGTCAAGAAGAGGATACAGAATTCTGTGTTCAGACGGGTTTCTCAAATTTCCCAAAAAGTTGTGATGTTTGTCGGTACGTAAATGTGTATAAATTAAAATAAATCCGTTAATAATTCCGAAATAAAATATTGTTATCAAAAAATAATAATAATGTAGTGAGAGTGATCATACATCCGACCGATTAACAGACTTACATGACCCAAAGAATCCCACATGGTGGCAATCTGAAACTATATATGAAGGCATACAATATCCAACTGCTGTGAATTTGACACTTAATTTAGGTTAGATATGCAAAAAATGCACCTAATGCGATTATAATGAAATGAAAAACTAATTTTAATTAATGATGTTGTGTTTATAGGGAAGTCATTCGATATTACTTACATTCGTATTGTCTTCTATTCACCGCGTCCGGAATCATTTGCTATTTATAAAAGAGTCAATCAGGACGGACCATGGATTCCCTATCAATTTTATAGTGCTACCTGTAGAGGTACATATAATTTACCAGACTCTCTTTCAATCCAAAGAGGTGAAAACGAATCAAGAGCTTTATGCACAAGTGAATACAGTGATATATCGCCACTGCAATTCGGTAACATTGCCTTCTCATCATTAGAAGGACGTCCGAGTGCATACAATTTTGAACATAGCATTGAATTGCAGCAATGGGTAACAGCGACTGATATAAGAATATCATTGAATCGTCTTAATACATTTGGTGATGAATTATTTGGAGATAAACAAGTTTTGAAATCATATTTCTATGCCATAGCTGATATTGCAGTCGGTGCACGTTGTAAATGTAATGGACATGCTAATCGATGTGTTGAAAGTACAGGCTTACACGGAGAACGTAGAAAAGTTTGTGAATGCAAACATTATACTGACGGACCTGATTGCGAGAAATGTTTACCTTTCTATAACGACGCCCCTTGGGGAAGAGCAACATCAAAAAATGCCCATGAATGTAAACCGTGTAATTGTAATGGATACTCTAATAAATGTTACTTTGATCGTACTTTATACAATTTAACTGGACATGGTGGACATTGTATTGATTGTACCGCTAATCGAGACGGTCCAAATTGCGAGAGATGTAAGGAAAACTTTTACATGCGGGATGATGGCTATTGTATTCATTGTGATTGTAATCCAACGGGATCACGCTCTCTTCAATGTAACTCAGAAGGCAAATGTCAATGCAAAAAGGGAGTTACAGGTGATAAATGTGATAGGTGTGAAGCCAATCATTTTAATTTTGGAATACACGGATGTCAAACGTGTGACTGTAATCCAAATGGTTCTTACGACAATGCACCATCTTGTGATTCAGACAGCGGATTCTGTTCGTGCAAGGAAAATGTTGAAGGTCGCCATTGTCGAGAATGTAAGCCTGGCTTCTTTAACTTAGATCTCGATAATAGATTTGGATGTACTCCATGTTTTTGCTATGGCCATACTTCAGAATGTCACAGTGCAACAGGTTATTCAATTGTCTCTTTATCCTCAAATTTTAATAAGAATAAAGAGAAATGGTCATCAATTGATGATAGTAACAAAGTTACAGATGTTAAATATAACATGCTACGTCAAAATATTGGAATTTTAAATAGCGATAACAGAGTTGTGTATTTCAATGCTCCAGAAAGATTTTTGGGTGATCAAAGGGCATCATATAATAGACTACTTAAATTTAAACTTCAATTGCTCAAACAAAGAGCACCGAATCCATCGTCAAGTGACATCATTTTGGAAGGTTCTGGAATCAAAATCTTTATTCCAATCTTTGCTCAAGGTCAAGGAATGCCTGATGACAATTTAAAAGAATACGCATTTAGACTACATGAACATCCTGATTACTCGTGGCAACCGAGTCAATCGTCAAGGCAATTTATGTCAATTCTGAGCAACTTGACATCAATTAAGATCAGAGCACTCTATTCGGATGACGGAGAGGCTTATATTGATGATTTCGAACTTCAAACAGCTCACCGCGGAGCTGCAGGAAATCCTGCCAAGTGGATTGAACAATGTCAATGTCCAGAAGGTTATGTTGGTCAATTCTGTGAATCTTGTGCTCCTGGATATCGCCACAGTCCTGCAAACGGTGGACCATTCATGCCATGTATACCATGTGATTGTAATAAACACGCTGACATTTGTGACTCTGAAACTGGTCGATGTATATGTCAACACAATACAGCTGGCGATAACTGCGACCAATGTGCTAAGTAAATATTTTTGGGATGTGTAATAGGAAAAAATTATTTTACATTTTTTTTTTTTTCATAGAGGCTATTACGGAAATGCTTTAACTGGAACAATATATGATTGCAAACGATGCCCATGTCCAGATAATGGTGCATGCATGCAACTTCCTGACGAAACTGTTATATGTCTTGAGTGTCCAGTAGGTTACTTTGGTAAAACGACTAAGTTTTCTGAATTGAAATAGATAATAATGTTGAAACTTTTCTTAGGACCACGTTGTGAGATTTGTTCGGATGGATATTATGGAGATCCAAATGGTGATGTAACAGGAAAAATTCAAATTTGCCAGCCATGTGATTGTAATGGAAATATTGACGCAAATGCTGTCGGAAACTGTAATAGGACGACTGGAGAGTGCTTGAAATGTATTCATAATACAGCAGGTCCACATTGTGACGAATGTTTGCCGGGTCATTTTGGAGATCCATTTGCTTTGCCTCACGGCTCTTGTGATGCTTGTTCTTGTTATCCACGTGGTAGTTTACAAACAGAAGACGGAATATCAATTTGTAATCAAGTTTCTGGAGATTGTGCTTGTAAACCAAATGTAATTGGTAAAAATTGTAATGAATGTCAAAATGGATATTGGAACATTGCTAGTGGTGATGGATGTCAAAATTGTAAATGCGATCCAATTGGTTCATACAATTCTTCATGCAATACATACACTGGTCAATGTTTCTGCAAACCGGGAGTCACAGGTTTGCAGTGCGACAAATGTGAAGCTGATCATTATGGATTCTCTGCGGAAGGATGCAAAGCTTGCGAGTGTGATGCAAGCGGTTCAAAGAGTAGTCAGTGTGATGAAAATGGACAGTGTCCATGTAATTCAAATGTAGAAGGAAGAACATGTAACCGTTGCAAGGAGAACAAATATGATAGAAATCAAGGATGTTTGGATTGTCCAGAGTGCTATAATTTAGTTCAAGAAGCTGTCAATGACCACAGAGCGGAATTATATTCATTCAAGACAGTTTTACAAGAAATTTCAGATAATCCAACTGTCATTGAAGATGCTGAATTTGAAGCTAGATTAAAAGCATTGAATGAAAAAGTAGATATTGTTCTTGAGGATGGAAAAGCAGCGACCGGAGGAAATGAAATGCCATTAAATGAGAAAATGGATAATCTTAATGATTTGTTGATTGATATTGAACTGAGTCTTAATGATGTTGTTGCTACTCATAATAACACACGAGATAATGTTGACGAGACAGGAACGAAACTTGATGCTGTTCAATTCAATGTTTTGCAAGCAACAAATGAACTAGATGTAATTTAATTTTTTAATTTTTTTTCTTTTTATATTAAGATGTTTGATAATTATTTTATTTTTAAGGCTGCTTTAGAATTGATTCAAACCGAAGGAGTTACTGAATTAGAACGTGCCAAGAATCGATCACAACACATTGATCAGCAATCAGAGCAGATGAGTGACATATCAAGAAACGCTCGTAAGTTTGCTGAAGATTTAGAAAAGAATGCCGAAAATAGTAAAAAGGTTGCAAAGGAAGCAAGGGAAAAAGCATTAAGTGCATCTGATCTTGCCAAAAATACAGTTGAATTACAAAGATCAATTGGAGAGCAATTGAAGACTAAAATTGTTCCTGATTTTCCAAAAGAGAAAAAGAAGATTGAAAATTTGAAAAAGTTAACGACCGAATCACTTAGCAAGGCTGAAACAGTCTATGATGAATCGTTAACATTATTTGCAAATATTACGGGTCTTCAAGTGCCAGAATTGGAATTAGAACCAATAAAGACTAACGCAAAGAACTTACAAACAGATATCGCCAAGATTTCAGCAGACCTCGACTCTGCATTGTCAGTAAATAACGACATGCTTAGCGAATTTGAAGAAAATTTAGAACTTTCACAAATTTTAATCAGAAGGTAAATTTAGTAAAACTAAAGAAAAATAATTTAAAATAATCTATGCTTCATTATTCAGAGGAGAAGCACAAAAGGATGATGCTGTTGACACTTTAAGTCACGTAATGGCAGCAAAAGATTTGGCAGAAAATGCAGTCAAAGATGGTGATGACACTCTCAAGAAGGCCAAGAATACTTATAGTTTACTTCAAAGCTTCTCATCTGAGGTTCACAACTCTTCGCAGTCAGCAGATATCGCTCTTAAAGATGTTTCGAACATTAAGAAGCAAATGGAAGATACAGAAAAAATTATCGAAGATACTGAGAAGGTAATATCTTGCTTATCTTTTCGATGTCTCCTATCTAATAAGGTGAACTTTATAGATTTTGGAAGAATGCTATAATAATGCAGAAAAGGCTAAAATTAGCGCAAAAGAGGCTCAAGATAGATATGCAACTCAATCATCAAAGGTAATTTTCAATTCACCTTTTAATATCTCATGATTATAAGAATTATTAAAACAGGATTCTGAAGCGATTAAAACGAATGCGAACGAAGCAAAAACGGAAGCACAGAAGCTTAGTTCTGAAGCTGGAAATTTGCGTTCAAGAATAGCCAACACAGAGTCACGTTTTGGCAATTTAGAAGATTTAGCACATAAGGACGACATATTGAGTGAAACAGCGAAGGCAAAAGTAGGTCAAGCCAAAACCGATACGGAAGAAGTTCAAAGAAAAGTACAGAAATCGTTAGACTATATTAAATCAATCACAAATGAACTTGACAACATGAGAGAGATTAGTGTTATAGACCTGAATGAATTAGGTAAATAACATGTGCTTAAAAAAATATAACTTGAATTTTAAATATGTGTAATTTTTTCTTCTTATTTTGTTCGTAATCATTTAGATAAGAAACTCAATAATACAGAGGAAGAATTAGAAAAAGCAAAATTAACAGACAGAATTGAATCATTACGTGGAATCAGAAATCAACAGAATGCAGATATCAAAAAATATAAATCTGAAATAGTTTTACTTGAGGAAGAGGTTGAGAATATCAAACGAATTTCAAGTTCATTACCGCAAGGTTGTTTCAAACGAACTAGACTCGAACCCTAATGATGCTAAAACAAAGTAAAAGAGAGAAAAATGATGACATTTTTACTTAACTTTTTTTTAAGAAAACTAAAATATATAATAATTTTTGAAGCAAATTAGGTTCCTATAGATGTATGTGTAAAAAAGATTTTATTTTAAGTTGTAAGTAAATCATAAATGCCATAATGATTGATAGTGTTGATTTTCAAACATAGTTTATCAATTTCTTCTGAATACTTAAAGAAGAATTGCGAGACAGGTCGAAAAACACAGGCAAAACCTGTTGAAAGGCAGTTGTCAGATCGCAACTCTTATTTAAACATGACTTTACTATCAAATAAATAAGTACAATTAAAATGCCTTAATTATATTAAAACAATAACAATCTCGATATTTTTCTTTAATCTTATATTTTTTAAAAGTCAATCAACATTATCAAACATCCATAATTTCTCAGTTGTGGTCTCATTTAAGGACTCAGTTGTGCTATAAATTTTCTCCAAATAAAACTGCCAATTTTTTTTAAAAAAAAACTTATCAATTTATCATTTTATTATGTTTTAATCAAATTTTTTTTATAACTTTGCTATCTAGATTTGAGGTCATTTACTTATAATGTTGACGGATGTGAAAACATGATTTTAGACCCCCCACCGCTATCACAAAATTTATATGAAAAACTAGTGTATCAGGTAGAAACCCAATGCGGATTATATTCTCACCGTACCATCAAAAGTCTTATGGATAGACCAAGATTTGCTCAGCATAAGTTTGAAGGGTGGGCGTGAAGTACGGCCGAGACCCATATCGACACAGTTCAAAAGTTATACCTAATTTATGTCATAATTAGTCAGCTACAAAAACACTTAGTTTGAATTTTGTCACCCTCGGGAACACTATGAACCAGTATAGCTGATTTTGGTCCCAATCTCGGCCATACTTCACACTTATTTGAACCACATTTTCTCGTAAATTTTAAAATATTATTAAAAAGTAATTAATCCTGAATTATGTCGCTATTTTGCCAAGTGTTTTAAGATAAAGAATTTGTTTTTTGGTTTCCACAGTGAAGAGTATGAACAAAATTCAGATGGGGTAGTCGAAATTTTAGATTTCGATTTTTTTTAAACTATGCATCACAAATACAAGTAATATTGATATGTGCTTTATGTCAGAATTATGTCAATTCAAATAAAATATCCAAAAAATTTTTTTGACCAAAGAACCAAGTAGGAAATACATTTTCAATTTTGTACTAGGGGCGACCCTAGTCAAAATCAATTTTGTCACTTTTTTCTTCGAGGGTTTCTCCAAATGGATTGAAACTTTGCATAAATATTCAAGTGCTTAAAACAAATACAAATAAAACATCCTAAAATTTTTTGGAGCAAAGAACCAAGTAGAAATACATTTTTAATTATGAACTTGGGACAGGTCTAGTCAAAATCTCGTTTTTCACTTTTTTCCCTTCGAGGATAAATCCAAATACAGTAAAACTTTGTATGAGCATTCTAATCCTCAGGTAACACATTTCTGAATTAATAAAAATCATTTTTTTGGAAAAATTTTAAGTCACGTTATTTTTATATGTAGAACCAAATTTATAAAATTTGGGTCTGACGACATATAGAAAACATTTCTTGCTTTAGATATTTAAATTTGTTTTGTATAAATATTAGTATACTCACACAAAGTTTCACTGTAATTGGATAAACCCCCCTAGGGTCGCCCCTAGTCCAAAATTGAAAATGTATTTCCTTCTTGGTTCTTTGCTCAAAAAATTTTTAGAATGTTTTATTTGTATTTGTTTTAAACACCAGAATATTTATGCAAAGTTTCAATCTATTTGTATAAAACCTCGAAGAAAAAAGTGACAAAATTGATTTTGACTAGAGTCGCCCCTAGTCCAAAATTGAAAATGTATTTCCTTCGTGGTTCTTTGCTCAAAAAAATTTTAGAATGTTTTATTTGTATTTGTTTTAAACACCAGAATACTTACGCATAGTTTCAATCCATTTGGATAAACCTTCGGAAAAAAAAATGAAAAACTAGATTTTGACTTGACCTGTCCCAAGTTCATAATTGAAAATGTACTTCCTACTTGGTTCTTTGCTCAAAAAATTTTAGGATGTTTTATTTGTATTTGTTTTAAGCATTAAAATATTTATGCACAGTTTCAATCCATTTGGATAAACCCTCGAAGAAAAAAGTGACAAAATTGATTTTGACTAGGGTCGCTCCTAGTCCAAAATTGAAAATGTATTTCTTTCTTGTTTCTTTGCTCAAAAAAATTTTAGGATGTTTTATTTGTATTTGTTTTAAGCACTAGAATATTTATGCAAAGTTTCAATCCATTTGGAAAAACCCTCAAAGAAAAAAGTGACAAAATTGATTTTGACTAGGGTCGCACCTAGTACAAAATTGAAAATGTATTCCTACTTGGTTCTTTGCTCAAAAAAATGTTAGGATGTTTTATTTGTATTTGTTTTAGGCACTAGAATATTTATGCAAAGTTTCAATCCATTTAGATAAACCCTCGAAGAAAAAAGTGACAAAATTGATTTTGACTAGGGTCTCTCCTAGTCCAAAATTGAAAATGTATTTCTTTCTTGTTTCTTTGCTCAAAAAATTTTTAGGATGTTTTATTTGTATTTGTTTTAAGCACTAGAATATTTATGCAAAGTTTCAATCCATTTGGAAAAACCCTCGAAGAAAAAAGTGACAAAATTGATTTTGACTAGGGTCGCCCCTAGTCCAAAATTGAAAATGTATTTCCTACTTGGTTCTTTGCTCAAAAAAATGTTAGGATTTTTTATTTGTATTTGTTTAAAGCACTTAAATATTTATGCAAAGTTTCAATCCATTTGGATAAACCTTCGAAGAAAAAAGTGACAAAATTGATTTTGACTAGGGTCGCTCCTAGTCCAAAATTGAAAATGTATTTCCTTCTTGGTTCTTTGCTCAAAAAAAAATTTGGAGTGTTTTATTTGTATTTGTTTAAAGCACTAAAATATTTATGCAAAGTTTCAATCCATTTGGATAAACCTTCGAAGAAAAAAGTGACAAAATTGATTTTGACTAGGGTCGCCCCTAGTCCAAAATTGAAAATGTATTTCCTTCTTGGTTCTTTGCTCGAAAAAAAATTTGGAATGTTTTATTTGTATTTGTTTTAAGCACTAAAATATTTATGCAAAGTTTCAATCCATTTGGATAAACCCTCGAAGAAAAAAGTGACAAAATTGATTTTGACTAGGGTCGCCCCTAGTCCAAAATTGAAGATGTATTTTCTTCTTGGTTCTTTGCAAAAAAAATGTTTAGGATGTTTTATTTGTATTTGTTTTAAGCACTAGAATAATTATGCAAAGTTTCAATCCATTTGGATAAACCTTCGGAAAAAAAATGAAAAACTAGATTTTGACTTGACCTGTCCCAAGTTCATAATTGAAAATGTACTTCCTACTTGGTTCTTTGCTCAAAAAATTTTAGGATGTTTTATTGTATTTGTTTTAAGCATTAAAATATTTATGCAAAGTTTCAATCGATTTGGATAAACCCTCGAAGAAAAAAGTGACAAAATTGATTTTGACTAGGGTCGCTCCTAATCCAAAATTGAAAATGTATTTCCTTCTTGGTTCTTTGCTCAAAAAAATTTTAGAATGTTTTATTTGTATTTGTTTAAAGCACTAAAATATTTATGCAAAGTTTCAATCCATTTGGATAAACCTTCGAAGAAAAAAGTGACAAAATTGATTTTGACTAGGGTCGCTCCTAGTCCAAAATTGAAAATGTATTTCCTTCTTGGTTCTTTGCTCGAAAAAAAATTTGGAATGTTTTATTTGTATTTGTTTTAAGCACTAAAATATTTATGCAAAGTTTCAATCCATTTGGATAAACCCTCGAAGAAAAAAGTGACAAAATTGATTTTGACTAGGGTCACCCCTAGTCCAAAATTGAAGATGTATTTTCTTCTTGGTTCTTTGCAAAAAAAATTTTTAGGATGTTTTATTTGTATTTGTTTTAAGCACTAGAATAATTATGCAAAGTTTCAATCCATTTGGATAAACCTTCGGAAAAAAAAATGAAAAACTAGATTTTGACTTGACCTGTCCCAAGTTCATAATTGAAAATGTACTTCCTACTTGGTTCTTTGCTCAAAAAATTTTAGGATGTTTTATTGTATTTGTTTTAAGCATTAAAATATTTATGCAAAGTTTCAATCCATTTGGATAAACCTTCGAAGAAAAAAGTGACAAAATTGATTTTGACTAGGGTCGCTCCTAGTCCAAAATTGAAAATGTATTTCCTTCTTGGTTCTTTGCTCAAAAAAATTTTAGAATGTTTTATTTGTATTTGTTTAAAGCACTAAAATATTTATGCAAAGTTTCAATCCATTTGGATAAACCTTCGAAGAAAAAAGTGACAAAATTGATTTTGACTAGGGTCGCTCCTAGTCCAAAATTGAAAATGTATTTCCTTCTTGGTTCTTTGCTCGAAAAAAAATTTGGAATGTTTTATTTGTATTTGTTTTAAGCACTAAAATATTTATGCAAAGTTTCAATCCATTTGGATAAACCCTCGAAGAAAAAAGTGACAAAATTGATTTTGACTAGGGTCACCCCTAGTCCAAAATTGAAGATGTATTTTCTTCTTGGTTCTTTGCAAAAAAAATTTTTAGGATGTTTTATTTGTATTTGTTTTAAGCACTAGAATAATTATGCAAAGTTTCAATCCATTTGGATAAACCTTCGGAAAAAAAAATGAAAAACTAGATTTTGACTTGACCTGTCCCAAGTTCATAATTGAAAATGTACTTCCTACTTGGTTCTTTGCTCAAAAAATTTTAGGATGTTTTATTGTATTTGTTTTAAGCATTAAAATATTTATGCAAAGTTTCAATCCATTTGGATAAACCCTCGAAGAAAAAAGTGACAAAATTGATTTTGACTAGGGTCACCCCTAGTCCAAAATTGAAGATGTATTTTCTTCTTGGTTCTTTGCAAAAAAAATTTTTAGGATGTTTTATTTGTATTTGTTTTAAGCACTAGAATAATTATGCAAAGTTTCAATCCATTTGGATAAACCTTCGGAAAAAAAAATGAAAAACTAGATTTTGACTTGACCTGTCCCAAGTTCATAATTGAAAATGTACTTCCTACTTGGTTCTTTGCTCAAAAAATTTTAGGATGTTTTATTGTATTTGTTTTAAGCATTAAAATATTTATGCAAAGTTTCAATCCATTTGGATAAACCTTCGAAGAAAAAAGTGACAAAATTGATTTTGACTAGGGTCGCTCCTAGTCCAAAATTGAAAATGTATTTCCTTCTTGGTTCTTTGCTCAAAAAAATTTTAGAATGTTTTATTTGTATTTGTTTAAAGCACTAAAATATTTATGCAAAGTTTCAATCCATTTGGATAAACCTTCGAAGAAAAAAGTGACAAAATTGATTTTGACTAGGGTCGCTCCTAGTCCAAAATTGAAAATGTATTTCCTTCTTGGTTCTTTGCTCGAAAAA